TTCCACTGAGCCATCTCCCTGGCCCCCTTACATTTTTTTGAGGTTTGGGTAAGTGAGTCTGGCCATAGTTCTTTTCTAATGGCTGAACAAAGGATTGCTTAGCATGCCTCTTCCCTGGAAACAGTTTGGTGTGTTGGTGGTCTGGGAAAAACAGCCAGATGGCAGAAACTGAAGACCAAGCCCAGTCTGGAGTTGACCCAGGGTGGGCAGTGGCATTGTGGGCCCAGTAGCCCAGAGGCTGATGCAGGGGGTGAAGAGGGTTGCTGTGTGAGTCAGCCTGCTGGTATGTATACCTGGTAGGGGAGGGATGTCACCTGTCCAGCCAGGTGTGCATGCATGCACAGGTGAGCCAGACAGGGCTCTCCCTACTTAGGATCTGGTAACTCAGGAGGCTGCTCTTCTATTTACTTCCAGGCCTAAGGGGAAGTCAGGGCCAGGGCTCCTCCCTTTCCTCCTATCACTTAGCAGGCTGCTGGGATGGGGCTGGTCAGCTCCCTCTCCATTCTCTTTACTGCTGTTTGGCTAAGTGAGGCTCCAGGGCAAAAGCAGGTGACAGCCAAGAACCTCTGGTAGCCCTATATAGTTCACTAATGGCTCTACCACACATCCTGCAGACCTCTGGTCAACAGTCCCTGAAAAGGGTGCTGTTGGCAGGTACCTGCTTTTTGAATTAGGAAACTTGACCTCCCACTTAAATGATTTGCCCTAAATAGTAACCCTAGGATTTATCCCAGTGTGGGAGCACAAGTCCTGTCCTCTTTCACAGGAGATCATGTTTCTGAGAGATACCTAGTCTGTGACCAGCATGCACCAGAAACTAAGACTGGGAAGTCCAAGGGACCAGACTGGCTGAAGCTGAGTCTAAGGTGGTCTAGCTTAGAAAGTGAGCCTTTCCCCTAGGACAGGCTGTCTTCCAGGTTAAGGGTCCCCTCTGCTCCCTAGCATTCCAATAGCTCTCCTGGGTCTGATGAAAGGAAAGGGAGATTCTGGGAAGGGGAATGCTGTTTGAGGTCTAGGATGGGCCATGGAGCTCCTCTAAGCTTGACTGAAGCCTGTTCCACAAGGAAGCAGCAGATAAGTAGGTGGTAATGACATGAAGTGACTGACACTACCTTGATGGGCAGTGCCCTTCTGCTCTGCCAGAGGCCTAATAGAATGCCTTCTGCAGTGCCAGAGCCTAAAATTCTGAGACTGGGAGCTAAGCTGGATAGGGGCCACCTTCCTCCTCTGGAAACCACCAGCACTGGCTTTTGGCACAGGATAGGTGGCTGGTGGATTTCCTGGAGCATTTGAGGGATACAGTAGGATTGATTGTGTGAGCCCCAAGCCATTCTAAGGCAGTTCCCAGAATGCACCAGGGCCTTGGGAAGAAGATGCTGTGAGGGTGTCAGGGACCCTACTATCAGCTGCTGAGAGAGGCTGGGAATAAGGCAGACAAGGTAGTGCATGGTCAGGACTTCTAAGCCTTTGATTCTTGTGTTGGGTTGAGAAACCCTCCTGAGCATGAGTTGCTTCGTTTCAATTCTTCCCTGCCTGTGGCTGGACCACGCAGGTCCAGAAACCTGGAACTGAAGACCAAGTTGCTGGTCTTTTCTCTCCCTTCTCCCTCTTTCCTCTGGGTTACAATGACATAGTGTGTTTCCCTGGAGATGTCCTGAGGCCTGACAGCTGGGGAGGGGCCAGTTTTATTGCCATTCTAGCCCTTTGCTCTTTTGGGAGTGGCGTGGCAGGGCATGTGGCCCCTGGTCTTGGGGCCTGAGGCAGAAGTGAGGGGGAGGGGCTGTGGTGATTCAGCCCCAGGTCAGGTGTGTCACTCCACCAAGCTGGAGGTGGGGAGTGGGGTGTTGCTCTGTCTGTCTTCTTTCCCCTCTTCAAAAGCTGCTTTTCTGCCAGGGATGTAGCTCAGTGGCACCACACCTGCTTGGCAAGCTCTAGGTCCTCAGTTCCTCTGGTACCAAAAAAAAAAGCTGGTTTTCTGCAAAACGCAAGGGATTTCTGAGGAACACCCTCTCCCAGTTTCTATCCTCTTGGTTTGTCTCCTGGGGGATTCTCCTGATTGCTGGCCAAGGCCCTGGGCTGGGGTTGCTGCTAGACAGCCACCTTCCATTCCTCCTCCTCTCCCTGCCTCTCTTCCCTAAGTCCCAGGCAGCCAGTTTCCACTTTCTCAGCTCTGTAGGGCCCCTGGCCATTTACCATTCGGTTCCCAAAAAAACCTCTCCCTTCTGGATCTACTTTTTGCCATCACTGTCTGCCTGGTCTTCTCGTCTCTGACCACCT